CCCCCCCCCAGCCACCGGCGCGATGGCAGTGTGAAGAGTAAATGGCTCAGAGTATCCGCGGTGGAAAGCGACCTAAACACTGGAGTAGGAACCGACACGCAAACAGAACGAGACGCGGTGCGTAAAAGCTCTCCACGGCGCACGGAAACGGTGCCAGGTGTCCAAGAAGCGCAAAAGAAGACTCCGACGGGGTTTTATTTTTTTTTCTTTTTCCTTCCTCTCTCTCTCTGTCTCTCTCTTTCGCTCTCTCTTTTGGTTAATTTTTTACGCGTGTGATCAACGAGGATATCTTAATTGGACATGTGAGTTACGGGAGTTAACAAGAGAACCAGGCTTTTTTCTTCCCGCCCCCCAAGATGAAGTTCTTCCCAGCTTGCGTCCTCGTCACTTTGGCGGTGATCGGATCCTGTGCGGCGCAATCAGGTGAGTGCTTTTGGGGATGCGCGTCTCTGCGCCTCCGTCTTTCGGTCAGGGTCTGACTTGAAAAGCACCGATGAAGTGAGAGTTGAGACATCCAAAGAGCAACAGAGCCGATCCTTTTCTGTCCCCGCAGAGACATTAGCAATAATTCCACTAAATGATAACTGAAGGTCGCCGGGTTTCTGACTCTTTCTGGTCCAAAACTTAACACAAGTTCACATCCTGGCACGCTGGTGCTGATTTCAATTATCGCTCTCGCACCTACAGGAAGCTGTCATTCAACTGCCTCTGCGTAAAATAAAATAAAGCTCCCCAAACTGTCCTTCTTCTGTCGTTTTAACACAGTTTTCTTTTTTCTCCTTTTTTTTTTACGCGAGATATGCTTTGAACACCTGGTTCGAAAAGTCTTCCATCAAATGAAATCTCCCAACAAAGAAAAAAACATTTGTCATCAAACAGACTGCGAATCTGCGCTGATTTCGATTATTTAGATCCCTACACTAAGTATGAATGAATGCGCCATCGTTTCAGTTTAATCCCCCAGAAGACTCGAAGACTAATATATTTATATGTAAGACTCGGGCTGCACCAGTGGCACAGTTTTTTTTTTTTAATTCCTTACTGTCTTTGAATAATTTAGATGTAGCAGATATTCTGAGGGCGATACAGGCAGTGGGAAAACATCTCGCTTTCATCATCATCATCGCGACCCCCGTGGAGTCGGTCCCTTGACGAAAATCACTTTAATGCTTCTTCAGCGTGCCTGTTTTGGCTTCGGATGCGTCAGTGACACTCGACAGTCAATTTATAGTAAAGTTAATGGTGTTTTTATTTATGTGCTCTGACAGATCCTTCCTTTGGCGCCCCTGTAGGGTGTTTGCCGAGGTTTTAAATCCCGCTGGGATGTTTTGTTTATGATGCATGATTTGATTGCGCTCTTATTTGAAGTAAATCATTAAGTTCAACTTTTTTCTTTTCTCCAATGGGTTTTTGTTCCCACGCTTACTCATCGATAATTCAAATTTGATTTGGTTTGGTGTGATATCTCTTCTGGAATTCTGTCCAGTTATTTGGAGTTCAGTAAGTGATCCATAATCTGGGCTCTTAGTTGACACAGTCAAGTGTTTGGCACAGACTGCTGAGCCAAGGAAAAACAAACAGAAACGCACTTATGAGGCGGCACAACAGGAAAGTTGTCAGATTCATGTTCAGAGGTGAATTTAGCCCCAAACTTCCAAGGATTCCAAATTAAATTCCTGGATGCTTTTCCCCCTTCCCGCCTCTAAAGACAGCTCTGTTTTTCTTTGGCCTCTGCACATACACACCACCTCTCTCTTTCTGTCCCTGAGTCCCGTGTGGATCTTTGGATGCAAGGCGATGGAGAGGGTGGATGTGCGGATGGATGGGTGACACCCGGGATGAATGGGAAAGTAAAGTGGCACCCTCGCTGGTTTATTTATTCTCCGTGCATGCACTCCCACTCCAGGATATTTGTGATGCAAATTGTAGCCTAGGAATCTGAGCAATGCCTCTTGGGGAAAATGTTGTGTTTGTGTGCATTGAGCAGTGCTGAGTGTGCTGTCTTTCCACTCTTTCCTATAACTACCCCACCATCCCACCCCCATCTCTCTCGTTCTCTCCCTCTTTATTGGAGGTATAAAAAATGACAGCACACATCATATATCAATCCCACGTGAAGCCGTGCGAGGGTGAAGTAAGTCAAGGCGAAAGATGTTCACTTATAAAATGGTGATTGAATCTGTCTCCTGCTGCGAGACAAATGTCTGAAGCGGTCCTTCCAGTCAGCCGGTCTACAGGAGTGCACACGCTGTGAACTATGTGGGCGCCTCATCTGTGCCAAGCGTGGATGTTTTCACACAGCCAGAGAGCTTTTTCATTTTCAATTAGACAAATGTGAAACCCACAAAAGTCATTCAGAGATCAGCGATGACCACGTGGAAACGGGCCCGATCAGCTTTCTCATTTTAAACTCATGGAAGGCGAAAAGAAAAAGAAAGCCTTGGCTGACTTCTCTCAGCCCTAATGTTCCTGGTGATTTGAGACTAAAGAAGTAAACTGGCATGCGTGACAATGCATGAAATTTCCACCTGAGAGAACATCCCCCAAAATCAGCCAATTACAGCTCCACGAGTGTGAGGTCGGAAGGAGCAAGCCTGTTAATAGAGATGCTTGGGAGGATTTGTACCTTTTTGTCCCCATAACCAGGACTGTGTGTGATTAAAGCACAAAAAACACACTGATGCTGTTGAACCTGCACCTAATTTAGTCAGAGCTTCTTATACTGACCGTCTTGTTTGAACATCATGCAGTTTGGGGTTTTAAACACATATACAGCCTGGTCCTGGTAGCTTGAAAAGGGTTAAGGAGGCTAAAGCTGGAACTGAGCAGGTCATGAGAGTGAGGTTGGTGGATCGGTCTCCGGCTGCTCCAGTGTGCATGCAAAAGCTACCTTGGGTAGTATACTCAAACCAGAGTTGCTCTTGATGCATTCATCGAATTTATCGCACGTAGAAAAGAATGACGTGAATGAGACGTGTTGTATGAAAGCAATTTGAATAATATGCAAAAACCAGATCATCTACTGATTGGTTAATCCAGCCATCAGTTTGACTAACAGAGCCAGTCTGAAGCATGAATATAATATTCAGCTCAGCCTCATAAATTATATATTGGTGAAATAGTGAACTAATTAACTAAACTAATTGATTAAAGCTTCCTTCAGCTGCTCCTTTATTTCAAAGGGGTCATCAGAGCGGTTGGATCTGCATATGTGATTTGGCAATCAGTGTCTCCAACTGACATTTCACATGTTAGGCAAACATACTAACCACTACACTATGAAGCAATACATAAATTAATTCCTTAATTTACTTAATTTCCACCTGGAAATAAAAAAGAAGGGGAAAAAAATCTTTGAGAATTGTGGGAATTTTCAAATTCAGCAAGTCTTCCATCAAAAAACCAGAGTGCGTCTTCAATAAATCGACTTCCACTCAAGGACTTGGAAACCCAGAGAATGTGCCACACCTGGGATATCTGACCCGGTCCAAGTGCAGGGACCATCATTGTGGTGCAGCTGTACATCCCACTGATGTCCATTAAAAAGCACTGTAAAAGGTTTTTTAATGGGGGGGGGGCGGTTGTATCAAACTTGTCTTTCTGAGGTCATGAATAAACAGTCACACTCTGTCCTTGTAGTTGTGAAGAGGGTTAGTCATTTGTGTTCAGTCAGATTTGCACTTGTTTGAAGGATGGGGGCGGCTGAGTTACTCTCTTAAGTGTCTTGAGAAGATGTGCCATGAAAATGTCACATCACAGATGACGGCTTTCTCTTGAACACGTTGTTTTGGCAGAGCTCGACGGGGAGAATTTTTGGCTTGCAACTTTTGATTTCGCTGCATGAAAAGCGGTGTTTGAGTCAGCAAACGGGACTGCACATTGCTGCGGAGGTGCAGGTTAATGATTGTTTGCAGGAATTTGTAGGCCAGGAAATTGACAGGAAATAAAGTTTTGCTATGATTGAAAAGCTGGCAGTTGAGATGTTAACGTGTTGGTCAAAATGCTGGGTAATCAGGATCAGGATAGTGAGGGTTTGTTTCAGATGATTCCCAGAACTTAACAGGCTGTAAGCGCCTGGGACCTTCCAGTAATCGATGACGTCTACAGGTATTTAATGGGTGGAAATCAAGTTTTCCGTGCCGTGTTTAAGAAAAAAAATATGGTTACCAAATATATTAGCAAGTGATGACTCCTTAGTGTTGTGGCTAACATATTCACTTCTTGGTTCAATTCCAAACAGAGATACAAATCCCCTTTGAGGTTGAGTCATGAAGGGCATCTGATGTAAATCTCTGCCTAGCCACAAGCAGCTTCTTCTTTTAATGGTCACGTGCTATCAACAGATATCTACCAGGGTTACCTCAATAAAAGAAGCACACACCGGTAGTCTCACCATCCTCATCTACCGCTTTCTTTTTGGGTTTTTTTGTTTACCTCTGCTTCCTGAAACAACTGGCTCAAACATTTTAATCCTTCCAGCTCTTGAGAGTGCCTGACAAATGCTGCACTCACACGTGTGTGTGTTTGGGTGACATTTAAAGATCTCCTGTGAAATGGCGGAGGGGGAGAAAGGGGCAGTGGGAAGGGAACCCGCTGAATGCCAGTATCAAATTACTGGGTGTTTGTCAGCTGGCACACACGGAGCTGGCCGAGGCTTTGTAGAAGACTGACGGAAATGAGAATTTATTACAAGCTAATTAAGCTTTTTTTTGATAGGATCAGTCTAGACCGCGAGGCCTTTATTTGACAGCATGAGAGATGAGGGGGGTGAAGGAATTCAATCTTGCTCTAAATTAGTCAACACGGCTATCATAACTTGATATCTGCCAGGCTCGACCCGTGCCAGCCTTCAGCTGGATGTTTGTCATATATGCCGGTGCGAGCTGATGGAGATCTGTACAGTTTCTGTGCATTTGTCAGTGTCTTCTGCTGAAAGAGACGGAATAACGCACGACAGTTTGTACAGAAGAATAATAATCGCAGTTCAGCGAGGGTGACATTGAGGTGTGGGCTGTTATTTGCTTCCTCTGTCATAACCGGACAGTCTCAGCGGGCCGTAAGGGAAGCCTTACAAATGACTATGTGATACATGGGGGTGATGGAACGCTTTTCCAAGGCCTGAGACAGCAGCGTGCTACCTCTCATGGTACTCGGCGGCTGAATCAGCGCTCAGATTATTATCTGCACGGGCCGAACAAAGATGACGCTGTCCTCTCTCTTGCTCTTTTTCAAAGGAAAAAAAAGTCATCTCTTTTTGACTCCTACTTTTCTTTCCCATGCATTCAAGAGCGATCCGGCGACGTCACGAGCCCGTTTGCTTGGCATTTTGTTCGCCCGCCAGCTGTACAGAGGGGCCTCTGTTTCTCGAGTTTGCGTCCCGCCCAAATATTTACATGCGGAATCACAACTGCACAGCATGGGAG